TTTTGGCGGAACTGGGGATTGAACTCAGGCCCTTGCACTTGCCAGGGAAGCGCTTATTCCACTGAGCCATCTCCCCGCCCCCCCCTTTTTTTTAGTGGGGACTGAATTAAGGACCTTGCACTTGCCAGACAGGTGCTTATATCTATTAAGCTATTTACCTGCCTTCAGTCTAGTCATGTCCTAAGCATTAGGGCTACCTCAACTTACTGGGGGTGGTGTGGGGGCAGGACACTTCCCAATAACTCCTTAAAAGACACTGTTGGGTTAAAAAAAAAAAAAAAAGATAATTTATTTTTCATGTTTAATACTTTACAAAATATAACATGTTTTGATTAGCAGCTTTAAAATGGTTGTTGGCATTAAACCAGTTTTAGTCTCTATGGGATTTAAAATTTACTTAACAATTTTCATTTCTTTATTTTTTATTTTTTTTGTGGAACTGGGGATTGAACTCAGACCCTTACTCTTGCCAGGGAAGCGCTTATTCCACTGAGCCATCTCCCCAGTCCCTGGTTTCTTTATTTTTATTTCTTTAAACAATTTTCAATGTCAGTATTACAAAACTACAACTATTTAAATTCAGGGCAAATTTTAGTTGACTTAAAATGTTTGTTGGGAGAAAATACGTTTCAAAGTCCTACAAAGGGTGAAATGTTTTTTAAAATAATGAAGATGGTATCTTGACTGGGCCTGGCCCCTTCATAACTTTCTTATCTCAAGCCCTCTGCTCTCTTGCTTGCTCAAGCTACTCCATTCCAGGCAATGACTCTTTTCTGTTCCTGCACCAAGCTCAGAATCCCTGTTTGCCTCAGGCCCTTTGCACTTGCCACCAGTTTTTCAAAATTCTTTAGCACACAGGATTCTTTCCCTTATCAAGAGGCCTCCCTCCTCATCTCTAACTCATTTCACCGTTTTTTTTTTTCTTTATAGCATTGTCTACTCCCTGATATTATTTTCCAGTTTCCTACGTTAGATTGTAAACTATTCGCAGGCAAGAATACATTTATTTTGGTATTGCTGTAACATCTAGCACTTCATGCGAAATAAAAAGATTAACAAATATTTTTGAAATAACAGAACACTTTTTATGTATTTTATTTTTATCAATGTGTAATTCTGAGGTGCTGGGGCTGGAACTTACAGGCTTTTTCTAGACCTGTAAGGGGGGGTATGAATTTACACCAGCATATTTCCAGAATTTACAAGCCTAATTCTGAAAGAGCTGTTGCACTACACAAAGTCTTTCAAATACTTTTTTCAAATAAAAAAAGGTAACTCTAACTCTTTTCCTTTTATTGGGGCCAGAGATTGAATACCTTTTTTACTTAGCTCAGTACAGAAAGATCCTCCAAGACGTAAGTTTTACAACGTGGTCTTGCTAATCCGGGCTGGGCTGCACTCGAGACCCGCTTACTGCCAGGGTGCTGGAATGACAAACGCGCGCCACTGTGCCGGGCTCGAAGGTAACTGTTACTGATATGTCAGCCCCTGCCACTGTCGCTGAGCCCTGCCCCGCAGGTGACTCTCAGGACACAACGCCAATCAGCACGATCATCTGTAGGCTCTCCCCCACTTCCGGACTCAGATTTGGGGTGTGGCCCTGGCATCTCCGCTCTCAAAAAGCTGCTCCGATGTTCTGATCAGTAGCTAAGGCTGAAAATCACCTAAGTAGCTAAAGTAGCTGTAGAAGAGTTTCTTCTTCACCGAGTCTTTTCCAACGCCTTGCAAAGCTGCAGCTGAAAGAAAAGCGCCTTGCTTTACGGCTCCCCGGAGCCACGGGGCCTCCGGGGGACGCCGCGAGTCCCGGCGCCCGAGCCCGCGCGCGGCAGGTGAGGGCCTGCGGAGACGCGGCCGGCGCCTCCAGGGAGACGGCCCGGGAAAGCTCGCCCGCGTCCTCCTCGGCCGGCTCCTGGGCGTCCGCCTCCTTTCTCGCACCTCCTCGCACCGCCGCGGCGTCTGGACTCAAAACCACTGCCTGCGAAGACTACCCGGCACGCCTCTGACTTCAACGTGCCCTCGGAACTAACGCACTGCGCCCCGACGCCCAGCGACTGCGCGGGACATACGCACTCTCGGGCGACGCGGAGCGCCCCGGGCCCGCGCCGCGAGCTCCCGCCTCCCCCGCGGACGTCTGTGCGTACGTGCGCGCGCCGCCGCCTCCCGCCTTCACCCGCGCGACGCGAGG